GCTAAATGCTCTAATATAATTGCTTTTGTTAAATTTTGTGATGAAATTAATTAAGTTCTCTTTCAGTCACTTCGCTATACTAATTTATTGTTACACTTGGAGGTTCTCTTGATAATCCTTCATGCATGATTTATTGTAATTCAAGTGACACAGAAATTTCTTATATTTACTATCGGGGGTGGAGCCAGAAATTTGGTTTGAGGGGAACTATTATTTATTTTTTTTATATTTTTTTATTTCTAATACTTATATATAAATATTTTAATATCATAAATAATTCATTATCATTTATAAACGATCATATGTTAAATTCATCGATAAAAGTAGAAAGGAATTTTATTTTTCTTAAGTAATATTTCATATTTAAATTTTGTTTATAAAATGATACGTGATAAGAGAACTTTATGCCTTAAATAATTTATTCTACTCAACTCCGATCGGACGGACTAAATGAATGTATGAGAGAAAGAATCACATATTGAATCAGAATATTTTTTTTTCAATGTTTGAAGAAAAAAAGCAGCAAACAGAAGGGCCAAGGCCCAGTCCAAGTTACTAAAGGTAGCTAATAACATAAGCTCCTCCAATCTCTTTTTTTTTTTTATAAATAAAATTCCTAAAATATCCTTTTAACTAAATTTTTATTTTAAGTTCTATTTTTAAATTTTTTTTGTTCACCCATTTTTTTATTATTATTATTATTTTTCTTTCTTCTTCTTTTTCTCATTTTCCTTTTTCATCACTTTAGTCATTCTTTTGATGATTTTATTCTTTTTCGTTTTTCATTCTTGATTTTTCTCTTTTACAATCAACATAATCATATTTTATCTTTCTATCTTTTAAATTCTATTTTTCACTTTCTACTCTATTCTTTCTTAAACCCTAATTTTTCATTCAATCTTCATTATTCTTTACATTCAATACAAGGTACAAATTAATATATTAAATTACATTTTATATTTATAATTTTTTTAACTTATTTAACATTATTTATGGACAATAGGATCGTAGGCGACGGTGGTAGATGAGAAGATAAAGGAACACGTAAGTTAAATTTGTCATGACGGTGGTAGATGAGAAGATAAAGAAACACGTAAGTTAAATTTGTCATACCGAAAAATAAAATTCAAAATTTAATTTTAGCATTCTGGAAAGTACTTTCCGGAATAGTAAAATTATTGTTCCAAAAAGAATTTTTCAGAAGTATGTTTCTTATATAATTCTGGAAAGAACTTTCCGGAACAATAACTTTAGTATTCTGGAAAGTACTTTCCGAAATTATGTAACAAAACTTTTCTGAAAAATACTTTTCAGAATAAGAATTTATTGAAAAGTATTTTCTGGAATAAAAAATTTATTATTCCGGAAAGTAATTTTCAGAACAAAAACTTAACTATCCCAGGAAGGGGGGTGCGAGAAAAAGAAAAAAGAACGGGGGGTGCGGGAAAAAGAAAAAACAAGGGTGCGGGGTGCAGGAAAAAGAAAGAAGAAGAGGGGTGCGAGTGCGGGAAAAAAGAAAGAAGAAGAAGGGTGCAGGGAAGAGAAAGAAGTAGAAGGATGCGGGGAAGAGAAAGAAGAGAGGTGCAGGATACGGGAAAAATAAAAAAGAAGAAGGGTGCAAGGAAGAGAAAAAAAAGGATGCCAAATTTAGAAATTTTTTTTTTAAAAAGAAAAGAGGGTAATTTAGGAATTATATATATATTTTTTTTAAAAAAGGGTGTGTTTATATGAAAACGGAGGTGTGTTTATCATCACCCATAACATATTGAAACTGTATTTTTTATTTTTATTTTTATTCAATTTCGGAGATTTTCTTCCTTTGGTTTTTATTTTAAATTTTGGACTGTACCTTTTCAAGCCCAAGAACGGTTGCCCACCCATATGGACTTTTTGTGGCCTTCTTCCTTCATTAAATATTATTGCACCTGCATTGACAACATTGCAACCTGACAATAATTATGTATTGTACAGATCTTTTATTACACAATTTTAAGAAGAATCATGATATATATACCTTTTTTTTATAATTTTTTTATAAGTATATCTCTTTTATTTATTTATTTTTTTAAAAAAAATTCTAAAATTTTCATAGTTTTTTTATTTTTTTATTTTACACCTCCAACTTTCAATTTATTATTATTTTTTTTGTTTTTACACACCTCCTTCTTTCTCTCTTTCCGTTTTTCACATGCATTCTCTTATCTTCCACCAATTTCTCATCTATTTCGGTAAATAATTTTAGTTCTCTCGATTTTTAACATTATTTTCTTATTTTCTTATCTCTTTTACTTTTTCACATGCTTTTTTTTTTCTTGAACTAGACATACATTTTTTTCTTCCAACATTTCTTTTCTTTTTATCCTTCCAAAAATCTTAATATTAAGTTTCTTCAAAAAGTACTTTTTGTAAGTATATTGTTTTACATAATTTTGGAAAGTACTTTTCCAGAGGTAAGATAAGGGGTGCATGAGAAAATAAGAAAAGATGTATGAAAAAAAAAAAATTTAAATTAAATGTTGGGATGTAAAACTAAAAAATTAAAAATGATAAAAAGAATTAAAAATATTTTAAAAATTTAATTATTTTTTTGAAAAAAAGGAGATGTACCTATAAAAAAAGAAAGTATATATATATCATGAGCCTTTTAAAAACAGAGATAATTGCTCTACAACCATGATAATGCCAACTTTTGTTTTTAAAAATTGAACCAAACTAACTGTTTGACTAGTTGGATTAAAACTAGTTAGGTGTTCAATCTAATTATAAACTTAAATAGATAATCTCATAAAAAAATTGAATTGATAAAAAAAATGTTCAAATAGGTTTGGAATTGATAAAAAAAAAACTAATATGAAAATCAGTTTGAATCGATCTTCTTTAAGAAATATTTTTTAACTATTTTTTTTTTAATTTTTAAACTTTATTTAAAGTATTTTTTAGTAATAATAAATGCATGTTTAATAAAATTTATAAATTAAAATAATTTTTTTAATATTTTTCTTATAAAAATATAATTTAATCATTTATATAATTTCTTAAGAAATGTATTAACTTATACATTGAAGTCGTTGCTGATACCACTAATGAAACTTGGGATTGTTATTGTGGAAACATCATGACTAAACATAATACTATTTAAACCTTTATTTATAATAATAATTAAATCTTCGCCACACGTCACTCTATATATTATGAACAAAGAGTTCAGGATAATCACCCATTGGCAAGTTTTTAACTCTTCAAAACGTGCCAAGTTTCAGGGAAACTCATTTGCTAGATTTGGTTACAGATAACACTTAGACTTATCTGGCACTAAATAAAAACCACACAGCACTCTAGTTTTGTAATCATATAATTATAAAGTATAAACCAATAAGCAACTGTGATGTGGTTTTGTTTCATAATTGAATCCTAATTAATTATCGTATATGGCATTGAGTGCAAAGAGATCACGACTACGAGTATCTACATTAGAATCTGATTTTTGAAAAAGGTGTTGTTACTAAATGCTTACAGGTGTACCATTGTGTCTGTGACTCTTAATTTTATACATGCATCATTGCTCTCTCGAGTTTATTAAATTTAAATCTCCTCATGCAGTATATATCCATATTCAGAAATATAACATGTTTTGGTCATATTTCCTTTAATATGAGAACCCCACTAGCTTCATACACTGGAATGAATATTATTATAATATCATCATGAGAAAAAAAGAAAGAAAAAGAAAGCTATGTGGACAAAAGTCTATTCCCATAACTTTATATATATATATTTCACTTTCTCCACTGAACACGTACAAAAGCATATGTTATACGAGGTATTTCAGAAGGCCTTGAGTGGCCAACTAACATGATTACGCAAAATAAAAAATGTTGATTCATTTCGAATTCACTTCCTATGAAATTAGTTATGGATGCACCAAGCTAGATGCTGTGTATGGATCGACAAATGGTTTTTCATTTTTATATATCCGTATCTTTTTTCGCCAAAAGAAGAGCTATATATAAAGCCTATTTGTCATTAAAAAAGTAAAATTAAAGTAAAACCTATTTGTGAGTTTATTGCCACATGTATCCATCTCGTAGACAACTTCATGTGTTAACCTTTATTTATTCAACGACTTATTAATAAATGTTGAAGAGTGTGTGTGATTATCTTAAAATATATCTTAAGTAGAACTATGCTAACATATTTTTTTTATAAAAAAAAAATCAAGTGCATATATACATTATAAAATGAATATGTTAAAAAAACCTGTTCAAATTGTCTTTTAACAGTTTTTTTTAGGCCAGTTTTAACTAGTTACACTCATGATTATCTTAAAATTCACTTATAACAAATTTTAACATTTTATATTATTTTTATAGGAATCTAGTTCTTTTACAGTTAAATTTAACCGCAGAAAGTTATTTTTATAAAGATAGGAACAAAATTTTTTTCTATAGGAGATGTGCGTGATCTTCGTTAGAAGATGTATGTGATCTATACCAAAAGAAATCTAACAGCAGAAATATATCTAATCCTTTAAGTTTATTTTTAAAGTTAATCACTTATACACTGGCGGTGTAAATTTTTTTACACTGACAATTAATTATATCTTTTAATTGTGCCATGTCACTATTAAAAGTAAATATGTTTATAGTGACATGACACAATTAAAAGATATAATTATATCTTTACACTGAAAATGTATTGATGTTTAACTCTTATTTTATATTACATAAGTGCAAAAGCGTGTTTAATTATTTGAATTAACATTAAACAATGTTTGATTTGTACTCGTGCAGTTCCAAGCTGAATAATTAATGTATACCTCCTCCCCTCCGAGGTTGGATGATCCAAAATGTTTTCATCGTTGTTGTTACTATTTTATCGGTTCTCAAATATATAACAAAGTTTCTCTCTGATACCGTCAATTTTATCAGTTCTCAATTGAGCAGTGGTACTATTTTGGTCGATTGTATATAAGTTTAATAATCCTAGTTCACATTGATAAATTAATTAATAAACACAAGGAGCAAAGTTTTCACATTAATTATGCTGAATACTTGAATTCATTCGGTTTACTTGGTCTTTTTTCTTCAGATGATACATATAATTGCTTCTGGAATCCACTAGTTATGTCTACTGTTAAAACATTATGTTACTTATAACTGCGTCGACATTCTATGATTATATTATGCTTCATAGGGCACTAAACAATTAATAAACACACAGCATTTGCACATGCACTTATTATGGATATGGTGGTTTTGGAGTGTGACGACCATTAGCTGTAGATGGTGGGTAGTCCTGGAGTTCCAAGTCCATCCTCTCAGTTGCCTCCTCTTGCGGCCACTTTATTTCAGCAATAACCTGTATTTGTATAAGCTTCTTAATTTAGATATCTAGTAAATTAATGCATCATGCATGCATTATTTGCTCTTTGTGAATCCTATTATCTCTTAGCTGAATGCTAAAGATCATTCTTCAAAATACTGAAATTCATTTTTTTATATATAAAGATTAGGAAGCAAACTTTTGATCACATACTTAAGAAATAACATTATCCATCGAACATGTCATATTTTTGTGGTGCATAATACATTATGCATGTGTCTTGATCAGTTTAATTAGTCATGTATAGGGCATCAAATTTGTATATACCTTGTGGTTGTGGATATCCTCTAGTGCAACATGAAGAGCTTGGGGGTCTTGCATAAGGCTTTCAGTTCCTGTTTTATATAGAACAAATTATAAGAGGAGCAACAAAGAAGAACTACAACTCTAAAAGAAAGAAATTGGAAATATTGTGGTAGAAATTTACTTGTGATTGGGACTGCTCTAAGGCAAAAAAAATGAGAGAGTCCTAGAAGAATCACAAAGAGGAGGTGAAAGAGGGTGACCTTCATTCTTGTGTAATATAGATCACTTCTACGACAAGCTATAGCTAGCTCTTGGTTGTGACTTCACATGCACTAAAGGCCTCAATTTATACATGTAGAGTAAAGATTTTTTCAGAATATTTTTTTTAGTATCTAAAGTGCATATATGATGGAGGTGGCAATTTGGTATTGCCAAATTAAAAAAAGGTAATACAACCCATCATTTCTTCGAAGATCAACACTTATATTTTTTGGTGGACTTGAAATTAATGATGATATATTTTAAGTCAAAATGACAACAAAAGGATGGAGGAAACAATGGAAAGTGGAATATGACACAAGAATGTTGGGGGCAAAACCCAACCTGGTACACTAATCCAAGTCAAGGGATAAGTGGGTATGTACATAGCCATGAACCTGTATTCCATTGTGAATAGCGTGGAAGTGGAACAGGAAAAATAGGTACACGTCCATGAAAGAAATTAACTAAAAGAATGATCACTTCACATTTGCACCTCAATTAATTCCACTGGCGTATAACAAACATGCACGAAATGTGGTAGTGATTTTGTTGGAATTGTTTGCATGGGTCCAATAGGAGTGTGAAAGTCTAAGGTGCATCATTTAAAATATACAACTAGTTTAATTAATTGAGTTAATCAATCACCTTTACACTGGCAGTGTAAATTTTTTTTTTTATACGGGTAATTAATTATATCTTTTAATTGCGTTATGTCACTGTAAACACATTTACTTTTAACAGTGACATGATACAATTAAAAGATATAATTAGTTGTCAGTATAAAAATACTTTACACTGGCAGTGTACAGGTAATTAACTCTAATTAATTTAACTTAAAACCATCATGTTTATATATTTTTTGTTTGTTTTTATTTGTGGGATACGAAATTTTATAGTTCTCTAATATTCTCCATCAAGTTCAAGGGGATTGGACCAGTTCTGAGTTACTATTATTAGCTAGATAGTCAGTCTCTTAATTAGGTTGCTAGCTTTTATTTCTTGAGCTTGCACTCAAGTCAACTTGGGGAGTTTTATTTTTATATTTATATGAACTACTAGTATTGGTTTCGTAATCCAGGATTGAAGTGGCATATACAAAATTTCAAATTTAAATTTTGCTGCATCATTGTAATTTCTAGTTTTTATTGGTAAAAACTGTCAAATTCAAAGGAATAATCATATTGTTTTTGTTTTTGTTGTTGTTGTTTTTTTTTTTTTTGGCTTATCACTTAACTGATGTTTCTCGAGTTTCAAAAGTCCGAAATTTTAATTTTTTTTTATTGTTTTTAGATTGCTATGGGTTATTAGATTATTTAGATTCCAATATCTTATTGGAATTTTTACAAAGACTCAATAGTTTAAGTTTAAATCTTGTTTTTGTTATAAAATTTATCGATTAAAAAAGTCAACCCGAAAGGCATCAAGTCTATTTTTAGACTTATCACTCGAACTAAAGTTTCTTGAGTTTCGAAAAGCCCGATTTCGTTTTAATTATGATTTTTTTTAAAATTTTTCACAAAGGCCCAATAGGAAATTGTGGACTAGGCTAGCATAGTAAGAGTATTGTACGTAAAAAATAAAAAATAAAAAATTGAACCAATATATTGAATTAATTCAATCCCTTTATATTTATGGAAACTTTTGTTTGTCTTTTTATTTGAGCAGAGTATGTACTTCTTGGTAGAAAATGATTTTTATTGACAATAAAATTTACTCAATGAAAGATGTTTTAGTTCTCCAACATATTTCGCCATGTTTAGAAGCAACCATATATGTTTATTAATTGCAACTTTTTCCTTTAAAATAATCATGTGTTTTTTCTAGGCTACTGCATGCTATGTGGTTTCTATTAATTTGTTTATGTTTTTTTTGAGCCTGTCGTGTGGCCTAAGTCTGAAGGAAAAGAGTGTTTAGGTTGTTTCGCCTAAACGCACATCAATTGCGTTGCAGGTGGTGGAAGTCATATTCAACACTTGAAAAAGCTTCAATATTCAAGTTCGGCTGTCATGCATGTTATTGCAAGTGGGAACAATATTTTTTCCATTACCATATACGACAATTTAGCTACTCTAATCATAAAACTCCAAACACTAATTTCAGATACAAATGAAGGCTATTCGACAAGTTTAATAGTACTTGATTATTACAAAAAAAAAAAAAAATTGATTAAAAGACAAATTAAAATAAATTTTCAGTGATTAGCTATGTGAAAAACTAACTTTTATTTAGTTCTGACAATCCATGTTTAATTAATTGTATATATGATACAAATTTATAGTTTTTATATATTAACCTAAAAACTATTACCATAATATGTCTCAACTCAGTAAATTTTAAAACATAAATAATATGTAAAAAATAAATGTCAAATTAAAATATAGCTATTAATATTTTATAAGTTTAGTTAGTAAATATAATGTACCGGAAGGATCCCGTCGGCCACGTGGATCGGCACGTCATGTCCTATCAGATATTGACGCAAGCCAGATGTCATTCCGGCTCGGCACAGGATTGAGATCCACATCTGCCTCATATCGGCTCGGCAAGATGCCGAACACAACGTCTCGGCCACATCCTGTATCGGCCCGGCTGAAAGTCATTAGAGTAATTAGAACAGCGATCCCGATTAATAAGAGACGAAACATGATTAAGGCGTAACCCGCTGATTAACATCGTATTACCTAATTTGGTAAGTGTCAGAAAAAGCCCACTATGCTCAGGCCCATGTCAGGTATTATAAATAGGTCACACGTAACTAGGGATGGCAACGGGGCGGGGCGGGTGCGGGTTTCATGATACCCGTCCCCGTCCCCGCGACTCAAACCCATACCCGTCCCCGTCTCCATACCCGTCGGGTATGTAAATTTTGTCCCATCCCCGTCCCCGTCGGGTATCAGGTATACCCGTACCCGTACCCGTACCCGTAAAAAAATAATTTTTAAAAAATTAGAGTGTTGAGACAGACGAAACAGAACTCTCCTAACTATGAAGCTAAATCTGATACAAGATATCGAGAACCATTGCTTAACAAAAACAAACTTGAGAACACACACAAGTGATGCCAACTACCAGAAAACAGAGTTAATAAAGGATCAAGAGGCAAAGAAAAAGAAAAACGGGCAACGCTATGATTCGCGTTGGTGTGGTGAAAGTGGTGGAGCATGTGCTTGTTCACAAAACGGCTGCACAGAACCCCGCTTACAAGAAGGGAGAAAGAAGAGTGCGAAGGTGGTTTGATGCGGTGGCTCGAAGGCTGATGCGGTGGCTCGGAGGCTGATGCGGTGGCTCGAAGGCTGATGCGGTGGTCTGATGCGGTGGAGCATAATGCGCCCAGGTGGTTTGATGCGGTGGCTCGGAGGGAGAAAGAAGAGTGCGGAGGCTGGAGTGTGAATGAGAGAAATTGAAACCCTAAGTTTTAGCTTGCTGCGTGGCCCAGAACAATATTTGAAATGTTATTTTTTTTGTTATTTTTGCAAAGGCAAGTAAAGACGTAGGCATTTCGTCCAGGTCTTCTCTCCATCTCTTTGTGCTGGCACTTTTGTGTTGCTTTCCTTGGATAGGTGTATTTGCTTGTATCCTCACCATTTAAAGCGGTTGAGTGTTGGTTGCGTACTCTATTGGGTAACAAGGCTGACAAACTGTACACCTGATCTTCAATCTTCGAGTAGAAGCTCCATTATTTCTCTTGTGATAGTGAAGTGAAAATTCGGATCTTCACTCTTGTTTTGACAATAGATACCTTCACGTTGTTTCCTTCAGGTAGACGATGTTCCCTATATCCTTGCCCCTTGGAGCAACTGAGTGTTGGGTTGTATATTCTGTTGGGTGTCAAGGATTGTAAACTAAAACATCTAGGCTTTAAGATCCATGTGAATGCCCCATGTCGCTTACTGTGTCCGAATCTTCTCCTTTACTTCAACAGTATAGATGCCCCCACACCATTTCCTTTGGGTAGGTGGTGTTTACTTGTATCCTTGTCCCTAAGAGCAGCTGAGTGTTGGTTTATATGCTCCGTCGGGTGATAAGAATGGTAAACTTGTACCATCTAGGCTTCTGGCTTTGATGTTGATCCATCCTACTGCTTCTGCTTGCTTCATGGTAGTGTTTTCCTTTATTTGTAGCTTGTTATAGAGGGATTATATTCTGAGCTCAGCCTCTCCAGGCTGGACTGATATTTAAGGCTTCAGCCGGCCCATGGTGGGAGCTCAATGGTAGTCCCGATTTTGACTTCAAGGAACTCGGCGGTACCCTTGTTATCATTTACTGATTTGAGAGGCTTGATGGCAGCTCTCAATCAAGCTGGACTGATTTTAAGGCTTTAGCCAGCCTATGGTGGGAGCTCGGCGGCGATCCTAGTTTTGACTTCAAGGAACTCGAAGGTGCCCTCACTATCGTTGTTGATCTAAGAGGCTCGACGGCGACTCTTCAATCAAGACGGACTGATTTTAAGGCTTCAGCCGGCCTATGGTGGGAGCTCGGTGGCGGTCCTAGTTTTGACTTCGAGGAACTTGACGGTGCCCTCGCTTTTGTTCTTGATCTAAGAGGCTCGACAGCGGCTCTTCAATCAAGATGGACTGATTTTCAGGCTTCAACCGTCCTATGGTGGGAGCTTGACAACGGTCCTAATTTTGACTTTGGAGAACTCGACGGTGCCCTCGCTGTCGTTCTTGATCTGAGAGGCTCGACGACGGCTCTTCAATCAAGATGAATATTGACGTCCTTTATAAAGGTGGACCTCGAACCTTTGATGGATGCTCAACGAAGCTCCTTTTTTTTCTTACTTGAGGTACTCGATAGTGTCCTCGTGGTTGATTAATGATTTGAGCTCAACGGCAGCTCTCAACTTGGATGGTTGTTGATGTCCTTTGAAATCTTGGGTGGATACTCGACGGTGATCCTTCTTCTATTTGAGGTACTTGACGATACCCTCATTGTTGACTTGTGATGGAAACTGTCCCAAGGAGTATGGGCAGGATATACTTGGTGTGCCCCTGTGTTGGTGGGTAAAGAAAATAGATGGATGACAAGGACTATGGTGTTGCCCCTACCATGCGATTATTGTAATTC